CTACTGTACACCGAAACCTTGGTCCTTTCGAGGTCAATTTTAGGTACGTACCGGTACTACAGAGAAACAATTATGTACCTCCCCAGCTCAGTCCCGGCTAGTGCCCCGCTATTACCCGGCTTTTTTTGGGGGGGGGGGCTGGGACTGCAATTGACAAGTACATTAATTTGGAGGATTTGCAGAGGAAATCACCGACAAGAGACTCAAGTTTCAAGCAAGCGACCCGGTTTCTTATCAGAGAGGCGCGGTTGTGCTATTATTACCCAAAAATAACAGGTTTGTTAAACTGAGACAGTCACCATTGGCAACGGGAATTTTGGCTGTTGCCCGATACAGAGGTTCCCATAGTAGTGTAGAATATTGTTGAGTGTCTGTTTCATTTGATTACCACTCCCTTACTTGTTTGTAGTTTGGTCTGCGTTGACGATGACTTGTTAATTAATTGTTAATTTGACAAGCCTGCGTCAAATAAACAGTTTGTCTGCACCGTTATTAGCGTTAGACGCGTCCAGATTTCGGACGTATTCAGGACGCATCGTGGACGAATTCAGGATGCGTCAGATGCGTCTAAAACGTGCAGCATTTATGAACGGTACTGTAAGGTACAGATATCATTTTTTGGTTTTTCAAAAACCTCATTTGACATTTTACCTCAGCCTCAATTTGTTCATATTTTGTTCTTAATTTTTAAGCAATTTCAGCCTCGGTGTTTTTATAAAATGTGTTCTTATTAAAAAAAAAAAAGAAGTGTAGTAGACTAGAGCATTGTAGTTGTCTCCACTCCCAAATCTTACTGTACAAAGAGACTTTGAGACTGGTCACCAAAAGTTCCCAGATGATCCACTGCACATTCCAGGCCACTAAAACATAGAGCATATACTGTAGTTCCCAAATGATCAACTTTCAACTCTCACAATGCAATACATTATATAAAAGAGACTTGTTATAGAACATGAAGTGTCCCAAATGCTCAAACATCCCCTTCCAACGCCTCATAAAGACGCTTTTTTATGAAGCAATGAAAGTCCCAAATGATATATAAATAAAACTATGGTATTGGATGTCCCAATTGATACTTGATAGAATGTCATTGTTGTATTATGATGTCATAAATAAAACGGAATAATATTTAATATAAGTTTTACTGAGTTTATATAAGAAATAGTCAATTTATGGCTATTGATATTATGTCTTTTATGATGTGCTATAAGAAAAGCTAACTTTTAAGTACTGTATATGCACATGCGCCATATTAGGCACAGAACTAACTGCTAAATGTCTCTTCCGCAAGAGTATGCGGTAAATAATTCGCATTTCGGTCCTCCAGCTCAACACAATGAGCACAGCCAAAGACCAAAGGTTTTAACGGATCCTCGTTGTTTAGCGCACGCGCACACACATTTTGGTTCAAACATGAAAAAAGTAATAGTAAATTAAGGAAACTAAATGGCAAAGTAAGTTACTTTAATGTTAAGCCATAGCCATCGGTGTAACCATAACCATTGATATGCTCTGTCCCTCATTTTACACCTTGCGTAAAATTCAGTAACCCCTGTTCAAAATCCTGGATACGCCACTATCTTGTACTACTGTTGTATACCAATACTAAATATACTATTTTGGGAGATACCATGCACCTGTGCCCACTGTTTATTGGTGGAATCTCATTTTTAAGGGCATTCCTAATGAGAAGTGGAAGTAGAGCAGCTGTTGCTTAAACTTGCAGGTGTTAGTTGCTACACGCTTGGTTGGTCAGGACCTGGCTAACACATGAGGTCAAGCAGGGGTCAGGGGTTTGGTCTCCAACTGAAAGGTGATCACAACAACCTAAATGAAAAGCAAAACATATTGTGTACTGTTCTATAAATTATTATTATGTATTTAAATTAGGATTTTTAATGTCTGCCACTATCTGGATCTACCCTGGCCTACTTTCAGGTTGCATATATTAATGAGTTCCGCCCAATTCAATACACTACAAAATAATAGCATCAAGAAAATATAAAACCACAGCTTCTTTACTATATATTTCATAATTCATAATTTTATTGTGTTCAATAGATGTAACAACAAAGTCCCTTTTGTGTAAGCACTGCACCAAACATGGTATTTTTTGGGAAACATCATTCTCGAATAAACACTGGCATTTATTAGAGATATTCTATATTTGATATACAGTGCTTAATTGAAAGTACATACCGTACCCAACATGATTTGATTTGAAGCTTTGTATCATTAAAATACTATTATAAATAACCGATTTCTCAGATTATTTACAAGTGTACATTCTAACAAGTCGATACCGTAAGCATATGTACAAAACATGGTATCATTTTGGACTACAATAACAATAATGCCACTCTGGAGTAAGCACTGCTCTGTAATACACCCCTCCTGAAGTGCCAGACTGACGCATCCAAAAATTGTGTAAGAGTTGTGGCTCTTATTTGGGTCATTCATGGTGAAGTAAAATCTCCCAATTACTAACTCTCTATTTTATGAACTCGATTTGTGGCAATAACCTCATTACAAACAATCTTTTTTTAACTTCCAAAACACTTAGCGTTGTATTTAAAAGTCAGAAATAAGGAAATGTTACATCAGCTAATAAAACGTTATTAAACTGGTCAATGGATTGACATCTTTAAAGCAAGAAATATCAATCATTTTCAGCTGAGATATATATATTTTCAATTTGAGCTTTGTTTTGGTTGCGAACTCTGTTGGGACAGAGGTGTACATAATTGGGAATGTTACTGTAAATAGTAGGGCTATCTGTGACAAACACTCTATAGGTTGCAAAGAGGTCACCTTTTTGACATTGACCTTTCACATCTCTAAACTGCTTAATTATTATTAAATTAGTTTCTATTGTACTAGTACTAAGCAATGTATTTTGTGGGACAAGTCACTGAATTAAAAGGAGATAACTTTATTTAAATTTTGAAATTAGAAAGTAATCAGTTTATATGTATATTAAGCAAACTCAATTTTTGCAGTAAATGATATACAGTAATTTCAAGTGAATTTTGAATGAACTTTGTATGGTCAGTTGTTGTTTGTCCTTAATTGGGTTAATTACATAGATACTGTTTTACTCATTTAGATTATTTAAACCAATAAAACTTCTATCTTAGTTTAAAGATGTTACTGTACCTTTACATTAGAGTAAATATAAAATAAAAAGTTTCTTAAATATAAATTTTCATATTTGGCCCAATTTTATACTTGTTACACTATTAAATCCTTTTAAATGAACTCACAGTATCCCAACTGATCAGCTTCTGAACTGAATAACTTCCCTTACAATCAGATATTCCCTTACAATCTGATATTCCCTTACAATCTGATGTTTGGGATACAAGTCCCCTTAAAGCTTTGTTGTCCAATTTATCATTTTGAACGAACGAAGTGTAACACTTCTATAGCTTTAATATTGTACCAATTTTCAAACTTAAACATTTTCGAATGCAGCCAGGTTTTATGAAGAACATTGCTCACACAGAAATGACCAGGTCCACGTTTAGTTTGACCCAAAAAAAAGTCCAATCCGAACAGGGTATAAATCTGTCTAAGGCCTGTAAAAAAGTGTATTATTTACGATCATATGTTTAGATCCATGCGTTTAGAATTTGGTTACTATCTTTGCAACATCATGATCTGATGATCCATTTGACAGTTTTCTCCCATCAAGTGTTATTGTTTTTCATTATTTCTTCCTCCTTTTAATGTAATAAATCACCAGTAGGCATTAATCAAAGGCTCATCTTGTTCCCTTCTGTGGGATTATCATTTTAATGTATCTGGTTTATGTGATTAAACTTAATTGATATGCATTATCGCTGTTTGATGATTTATTACTGGTATAGGTTTGTTTAGCACCATTTATGCAAAATATTATATTGTGGTATAGATTCAATTTGGGATGTTTTTGGTCTGAAATTAGGAGGATTGAGTGTTGATGATTATAAGATTTATATCTGCTTAGTTTTGATGTTGTAATTCAATTTGCTTTCAATGCTGCAGTTATTCCTATGAAAAGTTCATCATCTTCGCTTTAAAAGTAGGTGGACAGTAGTTGGCTATTAAACCGATTCTGTTTCACCATTAATGAATTTCTGTTCATTGTTTGAAAGCAAGCCAAACCTGTAGTGTTCGATCCAGCTCGCTGTTCTTCAAGTAAAGAAATGTGTGGTTGTGAACTTTGATCACAAAAATAATTGAGTACATGGAATAACTTATTCATGGATTGACATTTGTTTACATAGAATATTTTGTTCCTGAACATTTTTGCAGAAATCTTGAAACCCAGGCCAGATGGATAAACCATTACAGTTGCTGTTTTGGCGAAACATTTTGGTTAAACTGATTACGAGAAGTTTAGCTTGCTGTGATTTGTAAATGTTTTTCTCATCTTCCTCCACAGATGTTTTCTCCTCCGACTGGAAGCTCAAAGAATGTACAGCCTGGACAACCAACGCAAGGGCCACCATATAATAAGCCAGGTATTTTTGCAATGTTCAGTTTTTTTTTCTTTTTATGGTACTTGTTTGAGTATGTTTTGGAAAATATATGCTAATATAATTCATGGTCTTAATGATGGGTCACAGTAACCATTATACATTTGCATTCCATGAATAATGATGGTATAAATTCTATCCGTAATCTGGTGTGAGAGAGGGAGAGAAAAAGATTAAGCAAGGCTTGAGCTTGGAGTTTATCTGTGGTAGGTGTTACACTCCACTGCAGGTGAAAAGACTTTCCACCGAAGTTCGGCATTCATCTCTATTCTATGTTACTCTTTACCAAGTGTCGTATGTAAGTGGGTCTTTTTTAGATATCTCAACAAAAATTTTCTGACTTCTATGTATTTTTTTAAAGCTAAAACGGAAATTAACATAATATTTTGTAACAAGATAATTTTTTGTGCTCAACTTGAATTGACCATGGTACCGATGATGACATGGAAACCTGTAAGGAACGTGACCTGTTACCAATTTGAACTTCCTGTGCTGCAAGGTTACCTGGGAAATAGTGATGCCAAGAAAACTTATTAACAGTTCCTAATGATTTTTCACTAATTAATAGATTCTTCATTAACAAATTTTCAATTGAATTCTTTATTAACCAATTATGATTCTGTTCATTTAATATTAGGATCAAAATGTTTTCATTTGAATTGAAAATGAAAGATTTTTTTTTTTATGTTGAAAACTTCCATGATAGTTCATCGATTATCTCTTCAAGTTGTTTACACAATTTTAACACAATTTTCTTGGTAAACCATTGCTTCTAAGTTCTCTGAAGTAAGAAATATCAGGTCAGTTATACAAATACTTAAAGAATGGTTTCATCTAGTGAAAGTGTTATTAAAGCCTACATTAAAAGCTGTTTCGTTGGTACTGAGAGCTGATTGCATGGCTTTTGTTTGACCACAAGCCTACAGTAGCCTTTGTGTAGTCCCAAATTTAGACCTCTTTCAATTAGCAATTTAGCTTGTCATGTGACTAGATTTTAGATTACTTGTTCTGTGATGTATATGAGTTTCAAAGACTCAGATTTTGTTCAATTGACTAAGGAAAGTATAGGCTCACTCGGCTTATTAGTGGCCTTTGTTAGTGTGCTTCGCACGATTACACTGAAGAATTGGTCATCAAGGCAAAGAAGTAAATTAGTTTGTTAGTGACAGAGCATTTGTTAATGTGCAATTCATTGGAGCGTACAAGTGCTTTGCATCACACTCAAAGAACCAGTTTGGTCAGCAAGTGCTAATATCTTTTCTTACTGAACATTTATTAAATTTAATCTCAATCATCATCATTCATCAGTATGTCCTAGCAAGAATATATTTTCATTAAATTTTTGGTTTTCAGTTATATAATATAAACAATGTTTTATATAATGTAAAAGTAAATTGTGATAATACTTTATTAAGACACCCTTTGATTGAGAATGTAAAAAATTCCAGATTAACCAGATTTAATAACTTTTATTGGTCCATATCTGAAATACATAGTAAACTAGAAGTTTTAAAAAAATGTTTATTTTGCTAGAAAAAATAAACTAAAATTCTACACTTTTTAATGTATTGAAGTACTCTAGTTTATAAAGTTTGTGTACTTATTATTGATGTTCCATGAACTTTTTAAAGAACAAGTTCGTCAATACAAGATTTACCATCAATGTTACAAAATTATTTTTATCATCCAGAATAATTCATTTCTAGCATATAGTACAAAAATGTGTAAACTTTGTAATTCATATTTAGGAAACTTCTTAATTATTTGAACTTTGACATTTGACCTTATTGATTATGTATATTTTAATCTTCATTATAATTATAATAACTGCTAATTGTGTCGATCCATAGATAACGTTTCATGAAATGATGCTTCATCAATGCTTTTATAATTGTTGCCATCATGTAGTAAATTATTGTTGAATTCTGAATAACAAAACTGTTTTTATCTATGAATAATGTGGTATCCACCATTTATATCGCATCAAGTTGGATACTTTTCATGTTGATTGGTGTTACTCATAATATAATCACATTACTCGTAAAATCTGTATTACTACATACAGTATGGTATGCTTAGTGAATATGGCAATGCTACGATGATTGCTAGTAAATTATCGACTCAAAATATAATATTCATCTACTCTATGGAAGACCTGATTGTGTTCATCGTATTTACTTTTATAATGATAATGTTTTAGATTAATACAACTACAGTAAATACTTTTTCCCCTCAGATAATTACTATAATTGATTGTAATTCAACACTATTATATTGATTATATAAGCTAATGGACCTATATATACATTTGAATTGCTACACTTCATAAGCTTAATTATTACCAAATTGATAATTGATAACTTTTCCTTTATAGTGTGTATTAAAGGAGTAGTCTTTTATTAGCAATATCCTGTTCCTTCCATTTCCTACAGTACGTATAATTATGATGATTGAATCCCTAAATTTAGCTTTTCTTCAGGTTTTAACTTATTTATAAATTTAAACAATTGTACTTTCAATTCATCCTACACTAACAAATAAATCTCGTATTGTTCCCCAAGGGTTCAAACAGTAGGAATTAAAACTTACTTTATCTACTGTACATTTCTTCAAATTTTCCATTCTTTTCATTTTGATGCACTTGCTCTAAGAGTTTGGTGTTCCCATTTGGACATTTGATTGGTCTAGTTACATGGTCAGTGATTGAAGTTTTAACTTTCTTCTACACCCCCCTTCCCCATCAATAGTTTGAATCCCAGTGGGAGCATATGTTTTAAAATGGTTTTGTATTAAATTGAATTATTTAACTATAAACCTCATAATAATCAGAAAATAAATTTTAGTTCTAGTAAGTTGTCAGCTTGAATTTGAGTCAAGCCAAATGTGATTTTGATAATAAAAATATATAAAAAATAGATAACAATTAGCGATCAATTACTCCTCATGAGTCAAACATCAGACAATGTAAACAGAAAAATTAGACAGTTCAGCATGATGCATTTGGAAACAAATGTTTCTTTAAAATAAATGTATCCTTTTGTATGGTTATGATTTTATGTTGGATTTAAAGTGTACAAACAACTAAGAAAATATTATGAAATTATGCATGTAGAACTTCAGTAATTTATCCCAAAAAGAGATTGTAAATGTTGAACAAACTTGAGCAGATGTAATAATAATCAGACATCACATGGAATTTAAACACCAGACAAAAATTGACTTCATTTGAATTGAATATTAATGTCATTGTTTACCTGTTATTTCATTCAGGTAGCCCCTCTTTAATTTTTGTGTTTTTTTTATTTTTTATTTTCAAATTGTTTAGAGAAGATGAAGCATTTTATGAGCTTCAAAATAATAGCAAGAATCGGTCATAGGCCAATGCTTGTTAATGTTTACCACGTGCTGCTCTTCCAACAACTTGCGCTGCAGCATTTTAAAACACTAATCACAACTCTTTCCGCATCATTTCTTTCGTGAGAGGAGCAATATATTTTCACTTGTGCGTGGCCACTTTAGAAGAGTGAAAAAAATTAAGCAACTCAAGTGAAGCAGTTGAAGCTGATAGGAGAATTGGGAAAATTTCTAACAATATTGGTGATGTGGATCATTATAATGATAGCTTCTGTCATAGAATATGTCAGTTTTTGCACCTAGACAAATTGCCTTGCTGTTGAAACAATCTGAAGATTGATTATGCTTAAGAGATTCTAATCTGATTAATTTGGAATAACAAGGATTATTTAAAGATATTATCAATATTGAGCTAAAAACACTTAAACTTAAACTATAATATACTTATTTGTAATGTCATTCATTAGTTGCTATCATTGAAAAATTCTAAGAAAATATTTTTCTCTTAATAAACTAATAAACAAAGCCTACTGTAATAAACAAAAATGTATAAATAATATTTTTGTCTTTGTACTGACACGTAGTTTGGCCATTCAACATATTGAATGATTGGAAAATAACAGATTATTTAAAGATATTATCAATATTGAGCTAAACAAAATTATAATGAAAATTTTGTCATTCATTAAATATTAGTTTTCATTGGAAAATTATAACAAGAACATTTTTTCTCACCAAATAAATAAATAATATTCCTTTCTATGTTCTGGCCCTTAATTTGGCTGCTAATCAGTGTATGCAATGAGTAATTCAATATTATAATTGAATTAATTTAAGCAATTACTGTATGCTGTAAACCAAATTTGTACATACCATATTTTCAATCTTTTATTTACTTTATGTGAATTATTTTAAATAAATTTTAATAAATATGTAAAAATGTATTTTTTTAGAGGGAGCGGAATGTAAAAACATATTTTTTGTAGTCACATAAAATAAAGCAAATTGTGCAAACATTAATATTGTCTTAGATAATTTAATCTGTAATTTTTTTTTCATTTGAGGATAAAAAGGTGTAAATTAGATTGTGTAAGAAGAGTGATTAATTGTGGTCTCTACTAAAGTGGCATGTTAAACAGCATTGTCTATAATTTTATTCTCTACTGATATTCTCAATTATTGTTACTCATACAATATTAATAATTCACAATAAGACTATTCGTAGATGAATAAGAACGTATCACACCTTAAGTAACAGAATTATTGATAAATGCTTTATTGGTGTTATCTAATATTCGTTTGATTCACAGGACATGTTGAAGCAAAGAAGGTGTGTGACTCAGATTTTGTTGCATTATTTGAACCACTTAAACTGGCAACTGATATACAGAATACAGTAGTTAAGAACAGTCCAATATTTAAGAACAATCTGATATTTATTTGCCCATGAACATTTCCCACCTTAACAAAACTAGTTTAACAAGGCGAATGATTTAGTTCTATATGTTTATTCACTTGTCTAACACTTATTTACGTAATATTTATGCCCCATGCATTACATGTACCCATGTGGAAGCGAGGTAATATATGTCTCCTATGATGGTGCATTATCATATTATCATTTAGCCCTC